TCCTGCCAAACAGTGCGAGTGGGAACCACTCCCGTTCACCGTCGGACTCTTCTTTTAGGAAGCTCCGGGGCACCCACAAGCAGCTGACGACCAACATTCCTAATCATTGTTATTGATTCTATGTAAGTTAACTTTATGTCAAAAATAAACGGTTTCGTGTAAGACTTGTTATCTTTGTCTCTTACCGCCACCACCCACATACGATTCGCCCGTAGGTTTTCCTGACGCGCAATTAAAGTATTTCCCCTAAAAGTCGGCAACCTTACAATAGTATAAGTTGTTTCAAGAAGGTTAGTAGTAGTAGAAAGGTTACGGATGCCACAGTGTTGATGAGGGGAGAATATGGAGGTAATTTGGGTATAGATTTTGTTATATAAGCAAATTTCAAAAATTTTTAACATGGCTGATAGAATAGTTATTGGTCTAAAGCAGTGTTTCTCAACCTCTAATGAATCGTCGCCCCCTTCAATGTAATATTGCCCTCTTCAATAAAACCGTTACGTAGTATCTCCCCCTTCACTACAAAATTCCGATGCCGAGGGACAAGGCTAACGCCAAATTCGTACTGCATTGAATAGACTAGTGACTAGTATAATGTTATTTATTTAATTATTGTACGATATAACAAATAAAATATCTAATTATTCTTAATATAATGTTTTACTATATCGCCCAGAAAATTGTTTTTCACCCCCAAAATATATATTGTTACTAATCGTCCCCCTGAACATGGAAAAACGCCCGTATGGGGGCGATATCGTCCCCGTTGAGAAACACTGGTCTAAAGGAATTATCTTTTTTGGGGAGAACCTTTATATTAGAGATTAACCATTGTTTTGGAATGTGACTAGAGTTTAACAAAACTTGTGAGAGTTTGGAGAGAACAACAGCGGATATTGCTTTTAAATTTTTAAAGAATTGAGCCGAAATTGAGTCTGGACTATAATTCGAGTTGTTTAGGCTATCTATGGCAGACTTAACATCGGAAAATGAAATAAAGAATTTATGTTTACATTGTTGAAAAGATAGGGAATGAAACTGAGCTTCAGGTAAAATGCGAAAATATCTAGATTTAATATTANGCCATCTGTTCATTTCTTTTGTATGTCCGACGATCAAAAGACCGCTTGGGATCGAGTCTGTTTATAATTTGAAAGGTAATCTTGTCAGTTGTATATACAAAAGGTAAATTGTTTACAAAATGAGCCTTTGTTTATTATCTGATAAATGTATACTTTTTCGTCAATTGTTCACGATTGCAGATGCCTTTGTGTAAAATCCAAGCAGGATGTACGAGTATGTAAGCTAATAAATGTTCTCGTTAATCTTATCTCGCCATTTGGTTCGTTCACGGTTACAAGAAATCACCACATAGAGTCTTTCAAGTCTCCGTAGATATAACAAACAGAAATAAATTTCACAAAATAAATTGTAGCTATGCCTCGATTCCGCGCGACACGTCCGAACATGTAAGCTGGACAATAGTGTGGGGGGAGTGAATAATCAAAAGTTGCGTGGCGCTCAAACAAAAGACGAATCGACGAGATTTGAAAATCGCGTAACTCCGGGTTCGCGTAAGTCGGGGTATGACTGTATAAGTCACGTGGGTTACCATAACGTTTCCATTTGCTCCATTGTTTTCTGATCATATTGGATAATTTCTTTAAGTGTAGAGGAAGCCATCTGTTGGCGGAAGAGTTTATTTTACGGAATTGTAATAATTTTTTAATAGTGGCAGAAAACAAGTTGTAAATTTTATCAGTAAGCTTCTAAGGAGAAATAGGAGAGTTGAGGAAGGAAGGTCCAGTCAATGGAGCAAAGGATTTTTGAGGCCTCCGTTCCATTGAATGCGGCCCAAATTGGAATATTAATGTATTTGGCAGATTGCTGTTTATTGGTATTTAACAAGACATCTAGACATATTGCATTATGGTCAGATTTGAACCCCAGTGCGTAACTGGTAGATACAACACAATTATAGGTAAAAACAAGATCAAGAAAGTTATTAATACGAGATGGAAAAAGGATTATCTGTTTAAGTTGGAAAAAATAGAATATTTCATTAAGGAAAAATTGTTCAGTCGGGTCAAGGGAGGAATAATATGGGCCATTAGAATTCCAAGAGATGTTACTCATATTGAAGTCTCCGCATAAGATAATTTTAATATTTTTGGATTCAGAAAGAGAAATAAGATATCTATGTAAAATTTTAAAAATGGAATCTATTATTATGAGGGGTGTATATCGAAATGACTATTAGATTATAGACAATAGTCCCCCTGTCCTATTCAAGCCGCACCTTGTCTATATGACTAATCGGCTACTTTCGTCCTAATAAGAAAACTATTCTCCTAACATATATACAAATATTATAAATATTAAAATATAAACTGCACATATAAATTGTAAATAGCTACATATAAACTAATCTAACAAAATTAAAATTTTCCTATAAAACGACTAAAAATGTATTAAAACTTGTTATATTATTATCTTATCTTGAATTGCCTCCATAATTTAAAACTGTCTAATCTGAATTCTATATAACAACATCTGCTTTAAAACCAAAAAAATAGAACTATAAACTCTAAAATTATCTAAAAATCTTTTAAAAATATCATCTCCATCTAATAAAAGTAATTCAATAAATTCCTGACATGAATATCGAAAAGAGTTATAGATCGGGCAGTCTAAAACAAAATGCTCCATAGAATCAATCATCCCACACTCACACATAGGTGACTCAACTAAATTGAACCCGTATAACCTTTCCCGAAAGTGTCCATGTCCAGTAAGGACCTGAGAGACAAAGTAATCTGGTTGAACCCAGTGCGCCTGTAATCTACTTCTAATAGATGGGAAGAACTGTGCAGTCTTCCGTCCTTTATCATCTTGACACCACCTAGTATTCCAGATGTCTAACAATTCCTCCCGTATCTTCTGAAAAACAATAGTCCTGCTTTACCCAATACGCGCACCACCCGGATCAAATGTGAAGGAGCCCACAGTAAAAGAGGAATTTTTACTATACAAATACCTGTAATAAGAATATAAAATCTCTAAGTCCAATGGCATCTCGTCTGTGATAACTTGAAGTGCTGATGTAGAGGTTGTTCTATATGCTCTACTCATAATCAACAACACGACTCTTTGAGCCTTATCCAATTTCCTCCTATAAGAGACCCCAACCCGTCGTCCCATGCACCAGCCGCATACACCACAATCGGCACAAACAGATGCCTGTACAGTAAGCGCAGAGCAGGAAGCCTCAACCCCCACTCTGCGCCTGCCAGACTCTGTATTTTACTGTATAACTTAACAGACCTACAACATACCCCATCAATGTGTGGTAAGAGGCTCGTGCCCGAACCCAGGGTAACCCCCAGGTATCGGACTGACTCCCCCCGTCTGGATGGGAGTGCCTAGCATTTTTAATCTGGGGGGACGATCCGGGCTGAGATGTCCCTTTAACAAAACCATCTCCGACTTATTCGGAGCAAGGCTTAACTTCAAATTTCCAAGCCAACCATTTATCTCATCTAGCACCCTTTGACCTTTATATTCTATTTCAACTCTACTGTTAGCCTCCACCACAACCACCAGGTCACCCGCGTAAGCTACAAATTTAAACCCCATCTCATATAATTTAATTAAAACCATATTAAATACATTATTCCACATTTCTGGGCCAAACACTGAACCCTGTGGACAACCACGATTAACCCATTTATCTTGAAACAAGATACCATCCTCATAAACTACCCTACGATGAGAGAAATAATCAGACATCACTCGATACAGATCCAAAGGACAACCTTCCCTTCGTAGAACCCAAAGCGCCCTAGGCCACCATATATGGTCAAAGGCTCCGGCCACATCCAAAAACGATCCCACTACATACTTATATACCGATTCTTTAACCCAATTTTTCAATAATGCAATAGCATCAACGGTCAAACGACCCTTAATTTAATAAAACCAAACTGCCATTTCGCTATAACTGGTTTCATAAATCTATCCAATCTAAGCCTTAATAATTTTTCATATATCTTACCCAATAATGATAATAGGCAGATAGGCCTATATGATTTTGGATTTGACCTATCACGTTTACTACTCATTTACCACTAACTTCCCACACTTCCATCTCATGGGAAATATTCCAAACCTCAAGCACAAATTGTACAGCCGCAAGAGATGTTCTCGCAACACCGAAAAAGACTGTCTAATCATAACACTATTTATACCATCTAAACCCGGAGCTTTATTGCCCTTAAAAGAATTAACCACCATATACAATTCCTGCATCGTAAAATCCTCTACCTTCCTATCATTAGATTATAGACAGAAAGTTTGACGGCAAGGATATAATCAAGATATTCAAATACTTTTACAGTTTGAGCGAGGGGGGAAATCAAAAGGATTCCACCAACGCGTTGAATACAGATAAAGCAATATGTGAATAACCCAAACTGTTAATAAAATTCAACACATCATCAGAATTTGGGGTAAGCAAACTTTCCGTTAATATAAATGTGGAGAGCGAAACGCCATCTGCCGGCGAGACGACGAGAGCGGGACGAGATGCGACTTCGCGAGAGCAGACGACGGTTGAAGAAGAACACGCGAAAGGACGAAAAAGAAGTCCTACACTTGTTTTTTTATAATAATCACAATAATTTTTATGTAATTTGTATTCCTTAAAACGTTCCTGTTATCCAAATCTTTCTTACCTCAATTAAAGTTTTTCAAAAGGCAAAGAAAAGTCTCACAGAAGTGGGGGCTCAGCCGGGATAGGAATAGGCTCGGATGTGGATTAGGCTTAACTCGAGGAGATTTGACGAACTGTGCTTTGGTTTTGTGAGTACTCTGGACATTTACGGACATTTCTGTTTTTGTGAAAATTTCGACGTTGGAGAGTCCGAACACATCGGCATTCCGGAAGGACTTCGACTTAAGTTTCGGAAAACCGTGAGTAGTTTTAAAATTCTACTTTTAAGATGGCGACGCTCGTAGAAATTATCGGCGAAACACTAAAGTCGGCCTCGACAAGTTCAATAAAATTGTTGCATCAACTTGTATTCGAAGAGGTTGGAGATAGGAATAACAGAAAAAGATTAAGAACCTTTGGTGGATTCAATTTTCCATCCAAAGAGGACGTAAACCTAAAAAAGAAAGTGCAATATATTAATGAGAACTTTCGATTAAACGACCTAGTTGTTTTGTGCAACTTATTAAATGTTCAATATGACGGTAATAAAGACGAAATCGTTGAAAGGCTTGTTCTTTCTCTTTCTGATTTAAAATCATTACAATCAAATCTGATCTTGGCAGATGTTGATACCGAAGACGAAGATGTATTAGAAGTTCAAAGTGTTGCCGATGATCCACCTAGCAATAATTGTCTGCGTGTTTCGGATATCACTAAACTTTCCATTAACTTTCATGACGTGAAAAACGTAATCAAACCTTTCGATGGTAGTGAATATTGTTCTATCGATAAATGGCTGGTTGCATTCGAAGACTTTGCTAAAATGATGACTTGGTCTGATTTACATAAATTTATATTTGCAAAACAATCCTTAACAGGGTTAGCGAAATTATTTGTTGAAAGTCAAAGCGGTATTAATTCCTGGGATAAATTGAAATCGGAATTAAAAGCGGAATTTGGCAGTAAATATAACTCAGCGCGATTGCACGGTATGTTGGCTAAACGCCAAATGCTCCCCAATGAATCCGTGCAAGAATATTTCTTTAAAATGCAAGAACTCGCTAGTTATGGAAAAATTGAGCCTGACGGGTTGATCGAATATGTTATTTCTGGTATACGTGACATACCGAATAACAAAGCGATGTTATACGGAACAGATAATTTTACAGAATTTCGTGAAAAGTTGAGAGTATATGAGAAGATCCGGTCTACATATTCTCGTTCGTTTCAGTCTAAACCGAATCTACCTACAGAGCATCGAAATAAGCATGACGGTAAAACTGTCAAATGTTTTAATTGTAACGAAATTGGTCACATTTCAAGTAATTGCTCGTATAAATCCGAGGGTATTAGATGTTTTAAGTGCAAAAAATTCGGCCATAAAGCTAACGCTTGTCCTCAAAAAGAAGTAAACAAAATGGAACTAAGTCATTTCTCTAGATCAGTGGTTCCCAACCTTTTTTCATTAGCGTACCCCGTGACATGTCATATCTCTAGATTGTACCCCTCATTTAAGAAATTTAGTGAGTACCCGTATTGTTAATTTTACATATTGTAACTTTAAATTAAAGAAAAAAAACTAAATGAAAAAATGTATAATAAAGTTGTGATTGTTGCAAGGAACATATTTTACCTAATAATTTTTTAATACTATTAGTGTGTGATACATAATATATTATTTTTTCTGCCATAATAACTAACTTTTTTCTGTACCCCTAAACAACCTATCGCGTACCGCTAGGGGTACGCGTACCACAGGTTGGGAATCGCTGCTCTAGATGTAACAACAAAATTGAAACGGATGTTGAAATCCTAGGTGCAAAAACAAAAGG